ACATAAAGTTCCTCTCCTCCGCTCGTTGCACATATATACGTACTCGGCACGATATCACGTCGTTTTGTTTATAGCAGAGGAGTGCAGTAGAGCTCCCTCACACACGCACACGCAATGTAATACGTAAGCTCGCTTGGAATCCGGTACACGGGATTGTTGAATAATTTCCTCGAGACATTTATTTCTAATGCCGAGTTCATGACCTAAAAAAAGTTTGCTCTGTGTGTGTACGTAACGCGCACAGCATACATCGCACACACACACACACACTCCCGAGCGCTCGTGCGGTGCCGATCGCGCGGCGAACGCAACAGGTGAGCACCGGGCGAGGGATAATCCACCTTAAATCGAATATAATATAAGTTTCGGGTATACGGGGCGCGCATTTCAGCCGGAAGTTTCAACGCGCGAGATGCAGCAGCAGCCGATGAGCAACTGTATGATAATAATAACATGATCATATCCGATTCGTATTCCGCTCTGCGGCACGTATAATAGGCACGTGCGCGCAGTCGATAAGGAGCTTTTACGCGTCGAGTTTTCTATTACATTTTTATTTTTACAGATTTCGATGGATATACCATTTTGATTAATTCATTGCGGATTGAATTAAAAGAGTTAGTTTGCTTATAATGTATTGTGAAGCTCAAAACCTATCACAAGCTTTCTGTGTGTCTACACACGTGCCAATGGATGAGCAATCGTCTTCTTAAGCGTGTATAATCGCGACATCGGCGCACGCGACCTTATAAATTATCATCGAGCAAACATCGGGCGAGATTTAATTGATTCGCACAGTTTGGAGATGGCAAATGCCAAAAGTTCGGCCCGCGATTTCGATATATAATATGCACGTGCTTCTGCATCGCCTATGATTTGTTTATCTTATTTTGTCATAGTCAAGCGCGAACAAATTTGTATTTGCTTTCGTTGATTCCTTTGTTCAAGGGTCCAGCCACGTGGATATTATAATTTTTATGCTTTCAACGATTTTACGGGCGCCGATCAACCGGAAACAATGGCTATGCCAGTGATTTGTTTGATTTTGCTAAGAATATTCAAAGATGAAATATTCAATCGATGAAGATCGTAACAAGTTTGACGCAGTGAATCGACAACAACGGCGTACACACGATTATAATGTGTAAGGTTAACGAACCACGCGTGTCTATATCAACGATCTCGCTCCGAACAGCATATCACTCGAGGAGCACGGAATTCGTTAATTTTACACAATTACGAAGATGACGAACGTAGATCGTTTTATTTTTCCTCGTGCAATCGTTTCTTTTTCGCTCTTTTTTTTTCATTCTCGCATTTGCATCACTCACGCGAGTCATTTGGTTAATTTCGCGTGGAGCCCGCGCTCGAGTGCACGTGCCGTTTATAAAAGAGAGAGAGAGACGATCGCGCGAATTCCGTCTATAATACATCGACGCGTCAATTTAAAAAAGACAGCTGCGAGAACGCGTCAATTCGTTTATATCGGTCTATGTAGCTATTGAAGATTTCGCGCTTATGTAACGAGGAATATGTCACTGTAGACCATGCCCCTGTTGCCGCCGTATATAGATTGACAGCCGCTCCTCGTGCATCGCTGTTAAACTATTTCTTTTTTCCTCATTTTTATTAAATTTTTCTCTCGTTCGCAGTTCACTCGGTACAGGCGCGGGTTACGCAACTCTGTTTAAAGGAAGATTTTCTCGGTAAATCTGTGCTATATAAGCGCGCGCTACCATAGATTGGTTCGTATAATGCAAAGGCGCGAGATAAAGAAAAAAAAGTAGCTTATGCACACACGCGTGCGTCGCGCATCGCAAATCAATTATTAAGAATATGCGCTTTGCCGCAAGCACGCGCCGTCGCTTATAGGTTCCCTCTCTCGTTTTCCTCGTTTTCATTTTCACCGGAAAAGATTTTATACCCTCTCTCGAGTTTGTCTCATTTTCTCTCTCTCTCTTTCTTTTCCCTCTTCTCCGCACTCAGTGCTGCGTGAGTGTGTATGTAGTGAATATAGCACGTCTTCTATATGTCACACGAGATTTCTATATACCCGAGCCCCGGAGTAATTGGACGCTGGAATGGCAATTACACGCAGATATGTGCGAGAGTGTATAACGATATGTTTACCAGCGTCAGCAGAAAACACGAGACCTCTTTTATTTTTCAACGATGACAACAACAACAATGGCGCAGTGGACAACAACGGCGAGTTAATGTTAGCGACGGGTAGATTGCGACTGTATACGTACATAGGATGGTACAAGACTCGAATCAGGCGATCGGGAGGCTTTATTTACAAAATGTGTCAAACGCGATTAAGGCCCTATTCTTTTTAGCCTCGTTCAGCGGAAAATAAATAAATAAATAAAGCAAAGCTCGACCGATGCTTCCCTTCGTCTGTTTCTTTTTTTTCATTCGTCTTCGTGTGTATACGCGGATAGAGGCAAACGCGAGTTCGTTGTTATTCGTCGAACGTCCACGGCAAGGTGCAATTCGAATCTTTGCCAAGTCTTTGTATGCGCCTCCGTGCGCATGTGTGGGTGTGGGTCTATAAAGCGCGCCTCGCTCACACACACTTACGTACTCGCACACGAGCGACGATGCGACGGAAATGCATTTACATTATACACACGCGTGGCGGCGGCAGCAGTATGTGCTGCGGGTTTGTCTTTAAAGAAAAAAATAAAGAACCTCTCGACGTTGGATAAATTTCGCGCACGTGTTACGTGCTGCGAGGTAAGCAGCCTAGACTCCAACACATGCGAAGAAAAATATAATATTGGCGCGCGCTCGTTTTTCGGAGTACAACTGCGTTGCTGCTGCTGCTGCTGCTGCTGCAGTTGCGCACATGCTATAAGGAGCTTATTATTTTACGCCGCGTCGTGCCGCGATCGTTCTCGATTCGCCTCGTTAAAATAATAGAATTATATACAAAGAGAGACACGCTGGCTGCGTGTGCAGCTCGCGAGCGATACGAAAATTTTCTCATACGTACGTAAGAAGGCGCATATAATGATAATGCGCCGCAGGCGCGCAAAAAGAACGAAACGAGTCAGTGTCACAAATAGTCGAATACCTTGGATGTGCGCGATTGTTTAATAATTGGTCACGGCTATTGGTAAATATAGACGTCTCCTTTTGCATGCACGCGAGCGCGGTAGGTTACAGTCGGTCTGCGTTGTTGCGCGCCTCGATCGCAAGGAGCGCGAAAAAGCACGTGACAAATTTCTTTCTCTTTCCATCTACACGTCGACGCATGAGAAAAGAGGCAAAAAATTGCCTCATATATCGGAAGATTGCGCAACACACACATACGATGTATATAATGCGCAGGTACTCGAGATCGAGGAGTAGAAGACTTCATAATCTTTCGTGGCATGAGATAAAGCTGCTCTTCTTTCTCGCGTCATGTGCACGACGCGCAGCAGCAGCAGCATAAAGCGCGCGACAAGTGTGTCGCGACTCGCGAGCTGTTAGGAGCGCTCGCGTAAACATTCGAGGCACGAGCTATTTCTCATTGTGTGTGTGTGTGTGTTATGTCGGGGGAGCGGAACAATCGCGACAAGTCGATCGGCCGTGCAGTATATGGCAGCACCAGTATGTGTCACGAGTTGATATTCTCGGTAGCACGTGCATTATTAGGAATATCGTACCTATAATACGTCGCGAGCCAAGTGTATTGAACGACGAGGAGGAGGATCGATTTAAATACCCAAGGTTGAAGATATGACTCTTTGTCGAGTAGACGACTTTTTTCATTCCTTTTCTAATAATCGTTAGAGAAGGTGCGACGACGACACGAGCACGTGAAAAGTCACAAGCAAACAGAAAAACTGTAACGAATCTTGGCACTTGGTCATTTTTCATACTTATCACCTACAACGACGTGTTTCGCGAGCCCTTGGAGAGAGAAATTGTCGAAAAAAAATCACTGCGTGCATGTTATCACTCGAGTATGCAGTCGCAAACTCTTATGTACGTATACAAGAATCGGTAGGATATGCGAGCGCAAGTGCGTATACATATAACAGACTCGTTCGAGGAGCGCTTGGTATTTTCATTATTTGTATACGTGTGCGTGTACGTACATACTTCCGAGAGAAAGAGGTATAATATCTGTATACAGTCGGGGCGTGCTTATGCACGGGACTGGAAGTTTCATTTCATCGCAAGAAGCAGCGAGAGATAATCACGAAAAATGCGAGATTCAAAAGAGAGAAAGAAAGAAAGAAAGAAAGAAAGAGAGGAAAAAAAGAAGGTTTGCTTCCATCGATAAGAACGAACAAAGCATGTAAAGCAGCAGTATACGGTATATATACGTATATCTGGCATGCTTCAATAATTCATGTAATCAAAGCTCCTCCGATAGGAAATCATTCCTTAACTTTTTTTCTCTCTCTCTCGTTCGCTCACTCGCTCGTCCGCTCCAATCGAATGGAAATTTATTTCTGTTTTCTTTTCAGGGTTTATACTGTATACGTATCTATCTAGGTGCGCGTGTGCGCGAGCATACTCCTATACATTTGTATGTCTAACAAGCTGCGTGTACATGTGCAAGAAGCTTCGAAGAAAAATATATATTTTAATGACGTTTTGTGCGTTAGCAACGAGCGAAAATATTTTATTTACGCGCAGCGGTGTGCATTCGTATGTATCAGCTCGGAGAGATCGGTACAGCGCTCGGCTCTGAGCGCGCACGAACAACGGGGGTAGTATGGCCGAGCTTGCGGAGCTAACGAAAATAATATTCGCTCGCAAGCGCTGTACGCTTGATCTGTTGCCAGATACGATAAAAACTTGACGCGCTTCTTATGAGGCGCTCGTGAATGCGGTTAATAATAGGATACGAGTACGTATCTGTGTGCATGTAACACTCGTGCATGGAGACAAGCGGATACAGCTGATTAGCCAAAATACACGGCGACGACGAGTCGAGTCGCGAGGAGTCAAACAAACACGTTTTATTTCAATTTTTTTTGTTGCGTTTTATAATATACCTTCCGACCGAGTCCGGGATGAAGATGTTCCACCAGGAGGGGCGCTTCTCGCGACCCGAGGTCACGTTGTCGGGCAGGCTCTCCGACAGCACGGCCTCCTTTCGGCGCTTGCGATCGGACTTGCCGACCGCGAGAATCGGATGCCAGGACTTTCTGCGGCCCTTCTTCAGCGCTGCCAACGGTGGCGTCTCGTCCAGTATCTTGTCGTCCGACTCCTCGGTCAGTAGGAGCGAGTCGTGCGACACGTAGAATACCGATCCCCGGCGCTGCTGCTGCTGTCCATCGCTCGAGCGTCGCGATTTGTTGTTGTTGTCGCTGCTTTTGGTACTGACGCTGATGCTGCTGCTGATGATGATGCTGCTGTTGTTGGCCGAGGAGATGATGCTGCTGCTCGTGTTGATGGTCGTGTTCTCCTTGTTGCCGCAGATGCCGCTGTCGTCGTCCTGCGACGACGAGTCCGAGAATATGCTCGATCGGCGAGCTTTCTCGAGGAAGGAGTCGCGGCGCGCCTTGAGACCGCTGAGGACGCCGCTGTTGTGGCGAACGCGCGACCCAGATTTCTTCGACTCGGCCGCGCTCGAGGCGACCGGCGACAGATTCTCGATCAGAGCCGGTATCGAGTTGGTCGAGGCGTACTTGGGCGAAGAGTGGCGCGGAAGGACCGGCTGATGCTCGTGCGGTGGCGAGACCCCGTTGCCCTGCAGCTGTTGTTGCTGCTGCTGTTGCTGCTGCTGCTGCTGCTGCTCGTGCATATTTTGCTCAGCTTCGGTGATGTACATCTTGACACGGTTTAATCGCACGATTCTTGACGACGATAATATCAAGTTTTCGCTACTTTTGGGGGTAGCTTTCAAAGTCACATCAATTCGATGCTTTGACGAACGTTAATGTATGTGTATATTTAAGCTCGAGAAAGGAGTGTCCAGTGTTCGTATAATCTATACTCGTATGATCTCTCAAGCTTTATTTCGGCGTCATTTCCATCCTCGACGTTGACGACGCGACGTTTGTCGTCATTTTGACTGAAGCGTTGGATTACAGGGCTCGCGAGGCGCGTTGAACTTTTATTATTATGTATATTGTCCTGGCACTGCAGTGCTGCACACCTCTAATGCAGTGTACATCAACGATGCACGTGCACTCCAAATTATGTATTGTATATCAGCTGTGCTGCTGCTGTCTGCAATTGCTTCTGATTCGCTCGGGGAGGGCTGACGTTGTGTTTCACCGCAGATATTCACATTTAACGCACATAATCACACGCAGCGGGTCTCGCGCGCGTCACCGGCACACATTTATATACACAAGGCATTTATTCTATTATACATTTATATTAACAACTCGAGAGAGAGCTGCCTTTAGTATACATTATATATGCCACACATTAACTGAAACTGTGTCTCTCTCTCTCCTAGTGGTATATACTCTCCCCTTGCGTGTATATGGGTGCGAGTGTGTATAATATCTATGCCTCTATGTACGTATATAGAGTAATAACTGCGCGCTAGACGAGCTATATTGTATATCTATATAGCGTATAATGCCGGATAGGTGAAAGCAGCAGGTAGGCAGGATATATATAGCAGCGGATTTCGCCTGGCGAGACAGGAGTTTCGCTCGTTTCGCGGCTGTACTATCACATACACACAACGGGCACAGTGCGGCGAGAAGAAAAATTACACCGTCGTCTTCGGAGTCGCGTTTGCAACGACGATTCACTTCGATGCCGTACTTGTTACTATTATTATTGCTTCGCGCGCACTGTCACTTTTTCTTCTTATAAAAATAATAAATCACACTAGATTCGATACTGCAGTATCTGACAGATAAAAGATAATGAAAAATAAACTAAAAAACAAACAAACAGATATGCATCACTCAACGAAAAAAAACATAACAATAGGTCGAGCCTGCGACGTATTTTACATAAAAATATTTTTGCAATTCGTAAGTATCGTGTATGTTATATTAAATATAAACACAGACGAGAAAATAATATAAAAACTTGGCGCGTTATACTCTCGTGAAATTGAACGGGGCAACTAAACGCGAAACGAGCCACTCGCTTGTATTTATACGGGAGAGACAGTTGCCGACTCGCCGTCTCTTTCTCGCGCTCGCGGCAACGACGACGACTACATACCGCGGCCCCGACTCTATCGGCCGATACGAATGTGTGTGTGTGTGTGTTTATCCGTGTATATACGCGAGGGGCTATGTGTGTGGAAGAAGTCGGAGCCACAGCAAGAGCGAGAGAGGCTTGTTCTGCTGCTGCTGTTACCGATGCCGAGAGTCAGCCATTTGAAAGCCGCGTTTTTGCCCCTACCTCTTGCGGGCAGAGCTGCTGCTGCTGCTGCTGCTGTTCCGACACTCGACGTCTCGCGCTGGTATTACATGTGTATATTTTTGCTGCTCGTGTATACATACGTACAACATATACACACACTTTTCTTCGCCGACGAGTTGCTCATAATCTTTTGCTCGTGCGGTGTGTGTATCAGAGAGACGACGGCGTAAAGTGTGCGTAATACACGTACGTAAGTGCATCGACTGCTGCAATTACCGCTGCGGAGCCCGATATCGACGATCTGCAGCACATGCGTGCTCGATCTCGAGCTATATAATACATAAAAACGTGCGGATGCACCGTGAAAAGTCCTCGCGCTTTTTTCCATGTTACTCGCGAGTCCTTTCTTTCCGAGAACGATTATGTACATCGATATCGTTTACGCTTCTCCAATTGCCCTATTGTGTTATCGGCAAAGTGGATCGATCGTTCGAGTATCGTCGTTGGGAGTTGTTAACGATAGTGCAAGTCCTATATCGAGCGATTGCTTTTTGACATTTTTGCTTTTTCTTCTCCGATTCGCTGAGAAACTTTCTGCTACTGCTGTGCAGTGTTCTTGTCGCAAAGAATCAAGAGCTTAATTCTGGACCTACTGTGCGGTGTCGCACACGCATGAATTCAATATTTGATCGGGTTATGATTAGCAGACGATGAAACTAAAGTCGCAAACTGCTCTTGTCATCGGCACGTGCTATTCGGAGCATCCGCTACTCCGATATCCAGTGAATGGACTCTATCTCAAGTACCTGCCACTCAAGGGCGGTGCGATCGATTTCCTCTCTCGATCGGCGATAACGGTAGAAAAATCGGTAGAAAATCGGTAGGAAAAAAATTCTCTCGAGAGTCTCGGGACTTGGAATTTTCCACGCGCGCACTATAGGCGAGAAAATATTTTCGTACGTCCGCTTCAATAATAAGATGCAGTTGTAACGGAGAAACAAACAATATTCCGAACACTGTCGTTTGTTTATTTTCTTCGGATATTTATTTTTCAATTATTAATTAAACCCGAGTATGCCTATGAATCAGACTTCCTCTCCTCTCTTTCCATATTTTGTCTTTCACTCTGTGTGAGTGTGTCGAGTACTTGATATCGTTTGCGCGCCGATATTGTAACCCGTGCTACGGCCACGATGCACGTGACTCTCGTTGTGCCGATCGTGTCAACGTCGTCGTCGTCGTTTAATCATACCTGCCTGCGCGAGACAGAACGCGTGCAGCTGCGATATGACGAAATAGTTAAAAATAATTCACAATTTAATTGCACTTTATTGTCGTTAATTTGCGATGTATCTTAACAGAAGAACGAACAAACGTATACGAACGACGAAGACGGCGCACAAGGCGCACATGCGACGGCGAGGCGGCGCGGCTTATTGTTTTGCATAACGCTCGTTTCGCATGATTAATACACATAAATAATAAAGATCGATATCGGTATGACGATCGGTCGATCGATAACGCGCGCTGAATTATTTATCCATAATTTTCATTTGTCGTCTATAAATACATTCGAGATTTTGATGTTTTCGTAATTTTATTATCCCAGCATTCTGCAAGATCGTTTTATTTTGGATCAGATTTTCGCGTATCTGAGATTTTAATTAATGACATTAACTATATAAGCTAATATAAATGAATTTCGTATATCGAATCGATCGCAATTGCAAAAGCAAATATTACGCAGAAAATTAGTAGTATCATGCGGCATGATCCTGAGAGCTACTGTCGTTGATAAATTAATACCACTACTAATTCAACTATCAACGCTAGAAATCGATATTGAAAATGTATGAATCAGATCTTGGCGATCGATAACGCCCGTAATATATTTACCTCTTTACATCATCGCGATATACATGCCGTTGCTTTTGTATTTATCCGCACGAATGTATCATCTATAGAGCAAAACTTTTTACTTCCATCTATCAATGAATATTTTTACTCTCTAATAGTAAGAGTAATTTTTTTTGGGTCAAATTCGCAAAGTTTATATCCGCGAATAAGTCGAAATTTTTCTCTCGAAGTCTACATACATACGACACGATTGCGGTTTGGCAAATGAAGTATAGTTACATTGGCTGTGACACATGCGTGTCCTACAATAGGTTTAAGGTGATGCTGCGCAGTTTGTAAGCGCGTCGCGTGTGTGTTACGTATATAGTAACGTTACTGTACTGTACTATCTATGTATATACGCGCCAGACTGTCCGAGTTTCATGTAACGACCTATATAACGGACGTGCACGAGAAGCGCGTCGCGCAAATAAAATATATATATCAGTGACGTAACTTTCACACGAAATCGTTCGTAGTCCCTTTTTTGCGGCTCGAAAAGCCCGATAGGTGATGTGTGTTATTAATAACAGCGAGATGATCGCAGTTCGCGCGCGCATTATCACCTTTTTCGATCATCGCGGACGATATCAAAAATTTCTTTGATTGATTACGTACCATAGGCAAAGTGCAAAAATCGATAAAAAATAATAAAACTTGGATGTATCGCGCTCGTGATTTGTAAATACAAGAGCGATTCGATAAGGATTATATTTTCGCGTTATCGTTTACAGGTAGCTGATTCGCGTGCGCTCGCGCGAGCGGAATTGGGCTATATAAAATACTTTGCTCGAATCGTCGTCTATGTAACGAGACAATTGGTCAAGCGGTACAATAACAACGACGGCGATTCGTCGCAGCGACAGATGGGTCAATTTTTTTCTCTCCTTTTTTCACGATTATATTTTTCTCGTCGCGAGCTGCATTATAGGATGCTGCACGGGCTGTTTCGCGGCACTCTCTTCCCTCGAAATGGGGTCAAAGTTGATATCTCGATCATTATGCGATGAGACTCCAAGTCAGCTTAAGCTCGGCGCGGAAAAGTTCGAAGCTGCTGTCGTTTTCTTTTCTAAGCGCGTGTCGCGTGTCGCGCGCGCGCGGAAAAACAAACTTTTCTCCTATAACCCCCTGCCTAGGCTACATACATAAATAGCCATCTGCAAATCTGCAAGATTAAGCAAAATATTACACGAGGGAGCGGAAAACTAACCATAATGTGGGTCAAACGATCAGAGACTTGCATTACGCGAGATTTGCGCGAGCTGCTGCGCGAACGATAAATCGGCAAAGTTTATTCATCCGAAAATTTCACGCGATTGCTTTATCGAGTGTACGCATCGAGTTTCAATGAATCATTATAAGAAAATATCAAGAGAAACATCGCTGAACAACAAGCGCAGCACTTATAAAGCGGACACACGCAATAAATCATCAGCGCGTACAACTCCATTATCTCCCTCTCCTCTCTCTCTCTATCTGTCTTTGATGATAAAGGCAAAAAAAGATCGCGGAGAGCACAACAAGAGTGAAAGAGCGAGAAAAAAAATCTTCCTCCAGCTTCACCGGTATCAAAGTGAGATTCGAGAAAAGAGAGAGAGACAATTAACAAATGTCTGGGATCTCGTACGTGCTGCACTTGGGGGGATGGTGGGAGATATTATCTCGAACAAATACGCGTGCATATTTCCATATGCTATCTTGCGCGCACGTTTTAATACACATGGTACACACACAATACAAGTGCAGGCAGAAAGACACACTTCTGAGTTTGTGCGCGCAGTGAGCTCGCCCGCTGGTATAGCTGCTGTTACACTGCACTGCATATAATTGGCGGAATCGAATTAAGAGGCGGCTGGCGACCACGTCAACGTATTTTCGACGTCGTAGAGTCCCCATGTGGCAGCAGCAGCAGCAGCAGAATATGTGCTTAGGATAGGCAAGTGGCCTAATTGAGCGGCTACAAATTGGCAAATTGTTTCCACCGTTTTGCACGTCCGACTCTCGTTAAGATGAAAATATATACCGCGTGTATATGCAAGCGGGCGAGCTTCACGTTCTCTTTCGACACGAAGCATACACGAACTGTACCGCGCTGTACTGTTTTGTACGAAGCAGACACACAATGACGACCGACGTCGATTTTAGCAAATTAATCCTGCGTGTACAAGCGTGCTTTTCGTCGCCTGTACAACATTTTTCAAGCAATTTCGCACGACAAGAAAACGCAGTACGTCTGGCGCTACCAGCCGAGACGGAAACTAAGAGGATTACAAAAAATCCGTAAGAAATAGATTGTTTGCAGGAAGAGATGTGGCAGATATAGAAAAACTCGATCTATTAAAGAGTGGACAAATTTGGAAATTGAGAAAGTTCTAATTGTTTTCTTATTGAAATAAGCGCAATGAATCAATTTCTATTAAAAATTAAGCATTAAAACGTTGCGAATATTCTTAAAGAAAAGACTTGATCGATTTGAAGTCGTACCTTTTTAATTCAACTATAAGGTCAATTTTATTCTCATCTAATTCATGATTTTAGTCTTGAGTAACATCGCTTGAAATATAGAATTGATTAGACAGTACAAGAAAGAAAGGAAGACGTAACGTGTTTAGAGTCTGACGAAAAAGGACAGTTGAAATGATGAGATTCGTTTCTTTTGAAAGAAAATAAAAAAAGACTTTCGACGCTTAAAATATTTATTGCATGCGAAAAGCAAGAAAAGGCAGACGCGTCGACTTACTGACTCTTTTCAAGAAGATGAGATTAAAATGATCAGATCACGTGTACTTTTTTTAGTTGTTAGTTCAAGCAAACGCTTTTGTTATTTATATTAAGAAAAGTTGTGACGTTATCGCGCAAGAAGTTTAC